ACACCCCCAGCCCTCTCGGTTGCCGGTGTTACCGGGGGACCGCCGGGCAAAAAGTGGAGGGGATCGAAGTTAGGGGGGGGGGGGGGGGGGGGGGGGGGGGGGGTGGGGGGGGGGGGCAGGGAGGCCCTGGGAGGCTCGGTGCAGGCCACATGCAAGCTGGGGGGGTGCTGCAGTGAAGTGCAAAGCTGCACCTGCCCCTGGAAGCCTCAGCTGCCCCAGCCCCTTGTGACTGTAGGGGGACTGCAATTCCCCCAACCTGCCTATCTCTTCCCCCATCTATATCTTTTTGTCCACCCCGCACAATGGCACTTGGTGGCAGTGCTGGGGCTGGGGCTGAAGTAGAGGCCCAGGGCCTTCAATAGTCTCAACCAGCTGCCACCGCCTCCAGGCCTCTACTTCAGCCCCAGTGCCGCTGCTGCCACTGAGAAATGCCTGAAGCCCCACACCACAGCCAGCCACCCCAGCACCATTGTGCAAAACCCCAGTTCCCCCACCCACCTTGTGCTCCACAACTCTGCCGCACCCAGCTGACCTTTGCTATTTTCCTCCTGCTGCTGACAAGGTGCACCTGGCCTGACTGTACTATATGCGAGGCAACTGCTGGCTGTGCCAGGCCTCCTTCCTGAGGCCAGCTGCACCGTTCTCCAAGCTGCTTGTGCCATTCCTCCTCCAAATTGCGCACCCTATTCTGGTGATCCTTCAGAAACCTGGTTTTACCCAAGTGTCATGAGAATGAGTATGCTATTTGGAGAAGGAATGGGACGTGCAATTTGGAGTATGAGGTCTTTCGAATTACCGCGAGAATGGGGCTCCTGCCGTTTTCTCTCTGCTTACAGAGGGGGTCTTTTTAATTTATACCCATAGCAACCATCCTGTGGGACGGGTTATGTCAAGAAGGTCAGTGGCCCAAAATCAGTGAATTCCAGTGGCTGAAGTTGGACTTGAACCTGGATCTCCCTAGTCTAACAATTTTACCACCACATCACACTAGAGCTAAATAGATATCTCCAAAAAGCCTATGAAGAAGCTGATGTTGTTCTTCAGTTCCTGGCATTCATAGCATACTGTCTGTCTTCATTTTGTGTAACTATCAGGAGTAATAATGGGTAGAAGTCTCATTGTGAATATATTTAGTTGCTCTGAAAATCATCAAAGCATGTGGCCATTGCTACATGCTATGTTAAAAAGTAGCCCCTTCCTCCAAGTGGAAGTCCAAGTAGTTTTCTTGAGAACAATTCAGAATGGGTTTGCTCCTACTTTCTTATGGGATTTTTTTTTTTTTTTAACTTCTTAGTCCATCCTATACCTCTAAGACTTCCTAGTGGTCTCCTATCCAAGTACTAATTAAATCGAACCCTGTTTAACCTTTCAAGATCAGCCAGCATATTCAGTGTCCAGAAACAATTCCTTTATTCCCTCCTGAATCATCTGCCAGTCCTAGTTCTAGAATCATGAGCAAAAAGGGAAATCTCTACCCTAGGCATGATTCTATCCACCTCAACCATGCTCCTTTCTACAATTACCTTTTTTACTAAAAGGGCTTAGCACGGAAACTTTATCTTGAAAGGTAGATGCCGAAGCTGGCTACAAAGTGTATTTTGAAGCAGGGCAAGTGAAAGAATGGCTTCTGCACTGCAGTCAGAATAAAGGTGTGTTTGGGACTGATCTGTTTACTCCCAATTGTAACTGAGCTTTAAGCCCACACACTGTTTTTCATTTCTACCCTTCCATTCCCGTTCCTCTACTGAGCTCTCCACGGCTTCTTTTAGTTGCAAATGCCTTAGAAGCAGGTGCCTACCTCTGTAAACTGTGGAAGCTGCACCCCTACAGCGCGCTTCCTCACAGCTTTCCGAGTTCTGATTTTAGAAGAGTCAAACTGCTGCTGACATGTCGGGCCTGATCCTTCCCCGGAGACCCAAGTGATTTCCATATTCTGGAAGCGGCTGGCCAGCCTTTACCCCAACCCCGAGTTGGAGAATCCTAACTTAACCAGCGTTCGCGCGTGAGAATAATGCCTCTATGTATAAAACGAACCCCTGAGCCGAGTTGGAGAAGACAACTGCGCAAGGACAAGCAGCTCGCTTGGCTTCTCCCTCTTCCTCTAATGCTTGTCCGCGTCGGGTTACAGGCGCCTGGGGAACTGGCTTGCCACAGAGCAGAAACGGGCACTTCAGTTTCCCCTATCAGCGGAGAGAGCCTCCGCAGCCTCCCACTTCATTGGGTCAAGGGAGACCTTTGCGCCCACCTCCTTCAAAGCATCACCACGTGGTCCTCCCTTAGCAACGCGAAGATCTGCGTTGATACCGGCAGCTGGGGGGCGGGGGCGAGGTGAGGTGAGGGTTTCCCCCCTTGAGGACATCAGTTGGGTCGGGGCTTTTGCGCGGGGCAACGCGAGCCAAGCGCAGCCTCTGCAGGCGCTGAGAATGAACGGTCTCATTTAAAAGCATCCAGCCTGTTTGCCCTTTTGGGTTTCCAGTGCATCAAACCCTCACCAAAAAGAGCTATACTGTAAGCATGAGTCATCCTCACTCTGGGTAAGTGAGAAGCTTCCAGATACTCCGGTGAGGGTGGACGGGATGAGATCAAAGCCATCTCTTGCATTGCTGTCAGCCTATCTATCTCCTTAGCGGCTGCGTGATTAATTCATTTTTTTAAAACTACTTTTCTGTCTATGCCTCTGAGAGCAGAAGCTTTTTCTCCCGGTTACTAAAATGCTGTTTCTTTGCAAATTGAACAGGCTGGTGATGACACAGGTCACTTCAGCAGCCAGAGCCGTAGGCAGCCTCCCTGAATCACAGGTAAAGGAGATGCTATTTAGCGTGTGACATTTCAGACTAAATAGGGTTCTGACTAGACCAGTGTTTCTCAACCCTGGCAACTTTAAGATATGTGGGCTTCTACTCCCAGAATTCCCCAGCCAGCATGCTGGCTGGGG